TACGTCTCGATTCTTCATCCGTACGCATTATGATGACCGAAACGACGCTACGCCGTAAGTTTGACTTTAACGGGTGAATCGATGTAACGTTCGAACGATTAGCTCGACTCGTCGATACGGTAGATACCAAGTATACGCGATTCTCCCGCATCGCATCTGAGAACATTATATGTGATAGCGACATCTTCAATGGACATCAGCTCATCGATTGCGAACCATTAGCTTTAATTTTTAATAAGTACGAAAACCGATGTAATAAGATGTAAATAAAACATTTTTGGTTCGCCTTATTTCATGTGTATTGTCTTTTACTTCCCATCCTTTGCCTCGACGCGCCAGGAAAAACCATAAAAATTGAAAAAACTGTATCATACAAAAGAAACTCGTACTCTATTAATTCTTCCATCCTTTCTTCACTCATAGCACGCGCGCTCTATCTTTCTCTAACATGCAAGCCTTTATTATCTATACATTTTTAAAGAAAAGAAAAATATGTCATGGTCAAATTCAAACCTTTATTATCAATGCATTTTTAAAGAAAACATGGTCAAATTTTGATAACAAAAGAAGGAGCCCTATTGTATAGGAGCCCTATTGTGTAGGAGCCTAGACCTTTCCCCCTCTTTCCCCCGCGTTAGGTATCCCCCGCGCCTACAAGTACTTCCCCGCACCCCGCATTCCCCTCTAGCTCCTGGGTTAGAACCCGCCTAGTATATCTACTTCGGCGCCAAAGAAGAACTGCGACAGAGAATTACGCGAGCGCTTGTGAATATTAGAACGTTGATGCCACGTGCGCACGACGACAATGTAGAAACTGAGGAAGAGTCAGAAGAGGAGTCCGATAAGTTATAGGAAGCATTGAATGAGTTGATGATGCGGAAAATCAACAAGCAGACGACAAAATAAATATTCCGTCATTGGCCATTAGTAGCATTGACTCCGAAGACGGCGAACGAGATTTGCCAAGAAGGAGATGACAAAAAAGTACGAAGATTAGTTTCAATTTCAAAGACGTTGAAGATACTATCCGTCCATTCGATGGGAGCGACCATTATATGATTGAAAGATTTCGGATTTTGAGGAGTTAGCCACTCTGTTTGGAATGACATTCAAAAATTGTGTATTGATCGCAAGTCCCTAAAGGGTATCGCTAAAACGTTTGTGCGGGGATTTAGTACTGTGTAAACATGGAATAAATTGAAAGCAGCTTTGAAGGAAGAATTCAGCTTGCGAGTGAACAGTGCAAACATCCACCGAAAGTTGGTCAAAAACAAGTTAAGGAAGGATGAGAGCATTCAAGAATACTACCTAACTATGAGGGAATTAACGTCGCAAGGAAGTTTAGATGTCGAATCAACGATACAGTACATCATCGATGGTATCCCGGATGACAGTAGCAAGGTGATGTTATATGGAGCTCGAAATTATAATGAGCTCAGGTCTCGCCTCCGTGTATATGAGAAGATACAAGAACGAGAAACAATAGCCATGAAGAATAATCCGAAGAAAAAAGTAGCAAACAAGGCAAACAAGGACGACGCCAAATTGGTGAAAGAGGAAAAGAAGAAAACCAGGGGAACATTGCTACAATTGTGACGAAAGCGGACATAGGTCGGACAAATATAAATTTAGAGATAAAGGAAAAAAATGCTTTCATTGTAATAACTAACATGAAGCCAAACATTGTCCCAATAAAAATAAGTCCAACACTACGCAGATAATGTCAAATATTCTTATTAAAGCGGTTGACATGAATCGGATGTTCAAGCAGGTTATAATCGAAAATAAGAGTCTGTGTGCATTATTAGACACCGGTAGCCATCTCTCTTTAATGCGTGAGGATGTTTTTTAAAGCTTTTAAAACATTAAAATTGCATGAATAAGAAGTCCTTTTAACAGGTATCGTACAGGATCGAGTAAAGACGCTCGATTATTTCCAATCAACGGTCATAATAGATAATGTCGATTTTCCATTAGCATTCCATGTAGTTCCGTCCGAAGCCCTGAATGTTGATGTGATTTTAGGCACTGATCTAATAATTCAAGAAATAAGGATCGATGGTATCGCGATTTCTAAGTCTAATGTTTCCATTTTTCTCTTACAAAGAATTACAGCCAGAAAAAGACGAAGCAATTTGTACAGATACAATAATTGACAAAGAAGCTAAAAATGTTGCGGAAGGTATGATGCGAGAAATATAAGCCGAACAAATCTAAGACTGATATCGAATTGAGTATAACGTTGAAGGAGGAGACGCCTATATTCCAAGCTCCACGACGATTAGCCCTGAAAGAAAAAGAGATTGTCGAAAATCAGATAAACGAGTGGATAAAGGAATCATCGAGCCGTGTTCGTCTGAATATCGAGCCCTGTAGTACTCGTAAAAAAGAAGAATGGTTCTCATCGGCTGTGTGTTGATTATAGAAAACTAAACCGAATAATGATTAAGGATAGTATTCACTTAGAGTAATCGAGGATCAAATTGATAGATTATCAGGGGTTCGCATATTCAGCACGATAGACCTTAAAAACAGATTTTTTCATGTGAGCGTAGCGAAACAAAGTCGAAAATATACTGTGTTCACAACTTATCAGGGTCAATATCAATTCTTAAAGGTACCTTTTGTGCAATTCGCCACCCGTTTTTCAACGATTTATAAATCAAATTTTCCGACCTTTGATTAACGAAGGAATTTTGTTATTATATCTAGATGATTTAATAATAATTGCGCCTGATGTAGAAGAGGGCATCAGACGATTGCGCCAAGTTCTTCGAGTCGCAAGCGATTACGATCTCGACATAAATAAAGGTAAATGCCAATTGTTGCAATCAAGGGTTGAGTACCTTGACATAATGGAGATTGGTACAATTCACCCTTCTCCAGGGAAGGTTCAGGCAATTTCGAATTTCCCAGAGCCGCGTACGTTAAAAGATGCTTTCTCGATCTATTGGAATATTTCAGAAAATTCATAGAATCTTACGCAATTAAGGCAAAGCCTCTAAGTGATTTACTAAGAAAGGAAAATTCGTTCCGATTTGATGTTATTACGTCCAAACCTTGATAATTTGGTCAAGGAGATAACGAGAGAGGGTATGGAAGGACGGTCAGACTCAATCTCACAGGTATACGCACGGAGGCGAACACCTGTGAGTCGTACGCACCTTTTAAGTCCCGGAATGTGGGCCAACGTCCAAAGGGACGCTATGACAGCTGTTCCACTGGACAGTGCGAACGTCCTATCTTTTCGGTCAAGGAACTTAATCCCTTTGACCCGGGAGTGGACCTCGTGCGATCTCAAGTATTCGAGGGAAGTGAATGCGAGGGGTGATTTTTAATAATAACAGAAAAATACCTTACGTTACATTTATTAACAAAATAAAAGGATGTTGTACATTAGCTTGTTTCTTACGGAGAAAAATACTATACATTGTGAATGAGTATATGTGTGTGTGTGTGTGTGTGGAAGGGTTAGAGGATACGGGGGTGTGTGTGTGTGTGTGTGGATGCTTAATAATTGAGTTTTTCCATGCGGGGAAACGCGGGGTGGACTATAAATAATTATAACTTACTAGTTAGCTGCCCCAAGATATCGAGTAGAGAGTCTATGTGCGAGCCCAACGAGATCCGGCGTCCGCGAAGAGCGTTCGATGGGCAGTTGCCGTGGCGTATGGTTAACTTCGGTTGAGTGGGAATCGTTGTTCGTAAAGGGGAGAGGGGGGAGCGTTCCTCGAGAGGAGGAGGAAGGAATCGTTGTTCGTAAGGAGGAGGAGGAGGGAATCGTTGTTCGTAAGGAGGAGGAGGGAATCGTTCCTCGAGAGGAAGAGGGGAATAATCAAGGATTGTTTGGATATTGAGGTCTATTACGGTAGAAGAGGTGAGGTCCAACGGTTCCGTTGATGAGTGCGAGATTTTTGTCGATTGTGCCGGCCCGATTGTGGGTGGCCCTGGGGAGCGGTTCCACCTGCTCCTTCGGTTATAGGGGAGTCGTCCGCGTTTCTTGCTGATTCGCACTATGAATCGACGAATTAAAATTTGAATACGCGTATGTATATTAATGCTCAATAATTGAGGGTTTCCATGCGGGGAAACGCGGGGTGAACTATAAATAATTATTACTTACTAGTTAGCTGCCCCAAGATATCGAGTAGAGAGTCTATGTGCGAGCCCAACGAGGTCCGGCGTCCGCGAAGAGCGTTCGATGGGCAGTTGCCGTGGCGTATGGTTAACTTCGGTTACGATTAATTTACACTCAACTTCGGACGGAATCTCAATTGGCGATTTCCGATTGGCGCGGGTTATACTGATTACTAACTGAACCGGATGCTTTACAATTTGGTACTGACGTGAACCGAGTGCTTCGAAATTTGGTACTGACTCTGTGCTTCCGCGGGACCTCTATTTATACCCCGAAAAAAGAGTGTTGAGCCTTTGTCCAAGATGCTAAAGTTAGTTGTAAATGTCATGCGAGATTTACGATTTTTTATAACGTTTTATCGTAGTTGATCTAAAATACATAGAGTGGTTTTGAGAAAAAGAGAAAGTGATTTATAGTTTTTTTCTATTTTAAAAAGCCAAGATTGCTCCGAGACGGATGACGAATTCTATTATTCTTGCGGAAAATATGACTAGATAAGCAGATAGTTACTATGGTATCATTGTTAGTTCCGAGTCTGGTTTCGGATAACGATCTTGTGGGAAATTATTCTATGCGTTTATGTCCCTTTTTCCTTTTTAAGTGCGATATGGTGCCTGTGTTTTTGTTTTTAGAAAGATAAAATTGTTAATCAGTCTCGGATGATAAAGCCTAGATTTTTACTATTGCGTGACTTCGGTACATTTATAATGTCT